AGAATGCTACTAGTAACAAAGGTATCGCTACTAGGAGCAAGGACGCTCCTAGGGGCTCCTGGCCATACTACTAGGAACAAGAATGCTACTAGTAACAAAGGTATCGCTACTTGGAGCAAGGACGCTACTAGGGGCTCCTAGCCTTACTACTAGGAACAAGGACGCTACTAGGAGCAAAGGGCATCGCTACTAGGAGCAAGGGCGCTACTAGGGGCTCCTGGCCGTACTACTAGAAACAAGAACGCTAGTAACAGAAGGCATCGCTACGAGGAGCAAGGACGCTACCAGGGGCTCTTGGCCTTACTACTAGCAACAAGGACGCTACTAGGAGCAAAGGGCATCGCTACTAGGAGCAAGGACGCTACTAGGGGCTCCTGGCCTTACTACTAGGAACAAGAACGCTAGTATCAAAAGGCAACGCTACTAGGAGCAAGGACGCTACTAGGGGCTCCTGGCCTTACTACTAGGAACAAGAATGCTAGTAACAAAAGGCATCGCTAGTAGGAGCAAGGACGCTACTAGGGGCTCCTGGCCTTACTACTATGAACAAGGACGCTACTAGGAGCAAAGGGCATCGCTACTAGGAGCAAGGACGCTACTAGGGGCTTCTGGCCTTACGACTAGGAACAAGGATGCTACTGGGAGCAAAGGGCATCGCTACTAGGAGCAAGGACGCTACTATAGGGGCTCCTGGCCTTACCACTAGGAACAAGGACGCTACTAGGAGCAAAGAACATCGCTACTAGGAGCAAAGAAGCTACTAGGGGCTCCTGGCCTTACTACTAGGAACAAGGACGCTACTAGGAGCAAAGGGCGTCGCTACTAGGAGCAAGGACGCTATACTAGGGGCTCCTGGCCTTACGACTAGGAACAAGGACGCTGCTAGACTATACTAGGAACAAGGACGCTACTAGGACCAAAGGGCACCGCTACTAGGAGCAAGGACGCTACTAGGGGCTCCTGGCCTTAGTACTAGGAACAAGGACGCTAGTAGGAGCAAAGGGCATCGCTACTAGGAGCAAGGACGCTACTAGGGGCTCCTGGCCTTACTACTAGGAACAAGGACGCTACTAGGAGCAAAGGGCATCACTACTAGGAGCAAGGACGCTACTAGGGGCTCCTGGCCTTACTAGCAGGAACAAGGACGCTACAGGAGCAAAGGGCATCGCTACTAGGAGCAAGGACGCTACTAGGGGCTCCTGGCCTTACCACTAGGAACAAGGACGCTACTAGGAGCAAAGGGCATCGCTACTAGGAGCAAGGACGCTACAC